ATTTAACCCAACCCAACATCATATTTAAAGCCTACCCAACTCCCAAACCTAACATATCTCTATATAATCTGTTTCTCCCTTAGCCTCTACATTTGTCCGTACACTCCAGACAATCCTTCATTCTTCCGATGGCTTTTATTTTCATTGTCAGTATAGATTTTCGACCATATCTTACGAAATCAGTCCTTCAAGCCTTCTTCAAGATATGATTGAAGTCGATTATTCGCCCCTAATCTGACGGTATCGATGTTTATTTTGTTGATTCAATTATCTTCGAAATGTTCTTGAAATTTTCTTCTTGTATGTATTCTTCTTCGCATGTCGTTCTGAATCGAACCGGGCACAAATACTGTTGAACGTATTTTTTTTCAATACAAAGCATCTATGACCGATTTATATGGTTCACTAAATGTGTAATTGTTTATAGAAAAAATAATGTTGAGCAGATTTATTTAGTTGACTTAATCTGTAATTTTTTTGGAGTGAGTATGTGTGTGTGTGAGCCCAATTTTAGAGGGCGGCGGAGATGCGTTCTACGGTTTTGGGAGTTGAGAGTGGTGCCGTTCGTTCAGAGGGATAGTGGAGACCCCAATTTCATCCAGCGTCCCTAAAGTAGAAGGAGCCATGGAGCTCATGTTGGTAGGCCTTTTTTACCGAAATCGGAAGGTTGTTGATATCGAATAGATGGACAGACGATTTGGAGAGACCTTCTCTGGCTAAAAGGTGAGCAGTCTGGTTTGATTCTCTTGGCCTGTAGATGAATTCTGTGTTGTTCGCCCGTCGTAGAGTCCAAAGCTTGAAGAATTCGTCGGTCAGGTAGGTCGGTGCTCTATTATGGCCATTAGTTACGTCGAATATTATTTGTGAGTCTGTCTGTATTAGGAATTTGTTATAACCCTGATCAGTGAATATTTTGATTGAGGACAAGATTGCTTGGAGTTCGATTTGAAGAGGGTTGTTGCTTTGCAGTGGGAAGGTTGTGGCTCCAAGCAACTCGCCTCGGTTGTTTCTCATGATGGCTCCCCCGGGGCTGCGGTTGTCGATGTAGGATGCATCAACATTGAGGCAGAGAGTGTCGTTGCAGGTATGGCTCCATTTTAAAAGTTTCAGCTGATGTGTTCCTTTGTGGTGCGGAATCAGTCCGTCAATGAACAGTTCCATGTTGAATTTGTAGAATTTTTTGTTTGTGTTGTTGAGGCTGCAGTCATATATGTGTTTCTTGATTGCTTTTGTTGTTTGTTGTGCGCTGAATGGTTTGTTGTCCCAGATTATAGATGTGTAGCCCTTCCATGTGTGCCATAGTATAATTCCTGGAATTAGGTTCCGCAGAATGCCTGACATGCTTGATTGTTGTCCTCCCAGCCACCATTTGAACAAGGTTTGTCTAAGGCTCGTGTGAGAAATGTTTCCAACCTGCAAAATGTTAGAGAAGAAAATCCAAATGGGTAAAATAGTGGGGCAAGAGAATAGGGTATGGTTTTCTGTGTCTTGGGATTTTAGGCAGAATGGGCAACGAGTAGCTTGGTGGATTTTGAATCTGGTTAAGTTGTCTGGGAAGGGTAGGATGTGGGAGTTTAGTTTCCAAAGGAACAGTTTGGTATTGAGTTTGTGTTTAGACTGCCAAATGTGTTTTAAGCTAAAGGTTATTGGTTTGGTAGTTCTAATGTTGCATATTTGTTTCCAAGTGTGGGAGTCCTTATGAGTTGTGTGCATATCTCCTGATCTGTCATAGCGTTTGTGCATGTAGTCTGCCCATAAGGATTTTTGTGTCTGAAACATCCACCATGTTTTCAGTTGGAAGGCTGTTTGGATATCTGACATCGATCTTATATTGATGCCCCCTTCCTCCCCCGGGAAGTATAGCTTCTTCCAACTCACCCAGTGGTACTTGTTCTTCCCTTTTTTGTTTCCCCAGAAAAAGTTCCCCATCAGCTTATGTAGGGCATTGATGTCTAATTTTGGAATTTTTGTTACTGCCAAATAGTGTAGAGGAATGGCTCCAAGGACATGTTTGATTAGTATTAGTCTCCCACCTTGACTAAGTGCTTTCATTTTCCAAGTGGTGAGTTGGGATTCAATTGTTTGCATGAGGTTTGGACAGTGGAGTGGCCTGGTAATACCATGATGGAGGGTGGCCCCGAGCTATGTTATGAGTAGGTGTGTAGTGACCATTCCTGTTTGTTTTTCCATAATCCGTTTTCTATGGGGTGTTAAGAGCTTGTTGACTATGATTTTGCTCTTTGACAGGTTTATTGTCAGCCCAGTAGCTCCGGTGAAGAGGTCCAAGAAGGATTTGAGGTTGTTCATGGAGGATGGGGAGCCGTTGAGGAAGATGATGATGTCATCCGTGAAAGCAAGATGTGTAGTTGTAGAAACCCCCCTCCCAATTTGATAGGGCAGTAGCTTGTTTTGGGCCATGAGATTTTGTAAGCCTCTCGAAAGGCATTCTGTAATAAGTAGGAATAGGTATGGCGATAGGGGGTCACCCTGTTTGACCCCCCTCTGTGGTTGTAGAAGCCGTGGGGCTCTCCGTTCACGAGAACGGAAATGTGTGTGGCTGCCAGGTTACTCATGATGAGTGTGGTGGTGGTCTCGTTGATGCCAATTCTGATTAAGGTTGCATGTAAAAATTCCCATGAGACCCGGTCAAATGCCTGGGCTAGGTCCGACTTGACTGCTACATTGCTTCCCCTGGCCTTTTTGTCGAGATGAAGGAGTATCTCATTGGTCGGCATGATGTGTGTGTGGATATTTTCATCTGCCATAAATCCTATTTGTTCCGCAGATATTATCTTGTGCAATAGGGGCTTGAGTCTGTTCACCAGGATTTTGGTGCAGACTTTGTTGGTGAGGTTAGCCAGGCTTATGGCCCGAAATTGGTTGAGGGTTTTAGGAGAATCAGAACAAGGAGTGAGCAATTGAGGGCTTGGGGCATCGGTGTTCCTGTAAAGAACTCTTGGATCGCCGGGATGAAGTCTGTCTTTATGATATCCCAACATGACCTGTAGAAGTGGCTGTTGAACCCATCCGGCCCCGAGCTGCTATTGGGCTCAAGGGCCCATACAGCCTCTTTGATTTCTTGTGGGAGAGGTATTGCAGCCACTGCCCTGTTATCATTATCAGCGAAGGCAGAAGGTAGGAGATTTAGGAGGTATTTTGCAGCTCTAGGATCTGAGGGTTGTTTAGTGTATAGGGCCTTGAAATGGGCTTTCATTGCCTCAGCAATAGCAGCGCGGTTTGAGATTGTGGTTCCCTGGTTGGTCTTGATGAGTAGAATTTTTTGATGTTTCCTCTTGGATCGAACATAGTTGTGGAAGAATTTGGTGTTCTCATCGCCATCCTTCATCCATTTTAGGTGTGCCCGCTGGGACCAAAATGTTTTTTCCCGACTTAGTTTTAGGATTAAGTGGGCTTGGGCCTGGGACCAAAGTTCACGGGTTGTTGGGTTAGGATTCCTTTCGAAGTCCGATTCAGTTCTTTGGGCCTCCAGTTCGGCCCGTAAGATTTCATTAGGTAAGAGACCAAACGTGTCCTTGTTCCAAGTACGGAGGGCCTTTTTTAGTTTATGGAGTTTTTGATACATGTCTCTCGTACCTCCCCCACTGTTTTGGTCGGACCCCCAATTATTGCTCACTGTCTGAAGGAAGGTTGGGTGAGAGAGCCACATGTTCTAGGAACGAAAAGGCTTGGGTCCCCTGTGGCCAGAGTTGTTACAATGTAGTAATAAAGGGGCGTGGTGAGAGGTGGTCCTAGCAGCATGGTATTCAATTATATTGTCAAAGGAGTTAAAGAAGCTGTTGTTAGATAGGAACCTCTCCAACCGATGCCAGACTCTGCCGTTTTGTCGTTCTCCGGTCTAGGTGAATTCACATCAGTTAAATGGAATTGAGTTTAACTGGTAGTAATTAATACAAGCAGTAAAATCTTGTGAGTCGTTAATTTTTGGTGGTGTTTTCCCTTGGTGTTCGGAGATGGAGTTATTGACATTGAAGTCTCCTCCGATCAACCACAGCGAGTGGGTGAGAGCTTTCAGGCGACGGAGTTCATCCCAAAGTGGTTGTCTATCCGCCCTTGAATATTTGCCATAGACATAAGAATACCAGAAAGTGAATCCGGTAGAGAGTTCTTTAACCCGGCAATGCACTATTTGGTCAGGTTGAGTAAAAAGGTCTAGTGAAAAGTATTCCTCCTTCCACATGATCCAAATTCTGTTGTCGTCCTTAGTGTAAACGTGAGAAAATCCCAGGGAAAGTTTGTAGGAGTCAGATTGAGTATGGTTAACCATAGGTTCAATCATGGGTGCCAAAGCTATGTTCTAGTGCCGTGAAAGTGTTTGCAGTCTCTGGCACGAAGAAGTGAGACCACGCACGTTCCAGTTTAGAACGATCATTGGGGGTTGGGGGAGATGGACCTCCCCTTGTCTTTTCTGGTCATGGAGCGTGTAGAGACTGGATTTGTCTCTAGAGTATAGGACTTTGTGGTTCTTTTTGTGATTGCTGTTGTGATTAGTAAATCTAGATCCGGATTGACTTTGACCAATGCAAGCTTTTTACTCAGATTGTTGGACGTAGAGTTCCAATCAGGGGAGTGATTGGAAGAGCTATCCCCTTTAGTAGCATTTCCTTCTTCCACTATGACGGTATTCTCGACCCCTACCTTGTTAGGAGGGTCGTCAATAAGAGATAATGTTTCAACATCCTGGACCAATGTCATCGAATCAATGAGGTCATGTTCTGATAGCGGTACCTGGTGTTCGAAAGGGGCTTCCAGCTGAATAGGTGGGGGGAATGAGCGATTTCATGTTGGACTGGGTTCTGGGAAGGTTCAGAAATAGGAAGGACTTTGGTTGAGTTCTTTACAAGGTTGTTGAAGGGTTCTCATGAGGGGCTGGGGGGATATGGAGTGATGGTTTGTTCTAGAGTAGGTTCATCCTGAGGCTTATCAGGGGTTAGTGAGGATGTTGAAAGGGTCGGGGAAGGGGGATTTGGGGTGTTGGGATAGGGGTTCTTTCTGTGTTAGGAATTGTGGAAGGGTTTTTTGAGAGTTTGGTTTTAGGAGGGAGGTTAGGATGTTGTGCCTTGGTGGCCATGTCCTCGGAAGAGGAAGCCTTTTCCTTTCCTTTGTTACAGTTGGAGTGTCCCAGCGTGTTGCCGGAAATACAGTAGAAGGGAGTGTCTTCATAAGAGACCTCTTGAGAAAAACCTCATTTGCCTTGCTGAATCCAGATGGTGTGGATTCGTTCGGCATTGACATCCAATTCTACACACACTCTTGCTAGCGATGGCCTAGAAAGAGTGGCTGTCTGTTTGTCCACAAGGAGGGGTCGCCCGATGATATTTGCAATAGAGAGCATAGCAGCTCGATCATGTAGGTGGACAGGGAGACCTAAAAAATAGATCCAAACAGGGGTGATAGAGGATTCCTTACCTGGTAGGAATGATGTAGTCCATTTTGTGATTCTCATTTCAAGTCCGGAAATCATCCAGCTTTGCCTCAGCCAGCAGCGTAGGAAGTCTTCTTCTCATTCGAACCTTATGAGAACATGGCGGTGAGCAAGGTGGCCAATGGTGAAGCTTCCCTTGAAACCGAACTTCTGGAAGGCAATCCTAGTAGTAGCAAGCTTTGGGATTCCATAAAGGAAGGATCCCATTAAGGAGAAGGTGAGTTTGCTTGAGAGTGCATTGACTTCCTCTTGTGAAAAGGAGACTGTCGGTAAACCCTTGAGGGTGGTCGGTTTCTTGAAGACTAGGTGCAGTGGTGGTTGGTCGGAGTTGGGACCGGTGGGCGCGACGTTTAGAGGTTGCTCATGGGATAGTGTGGTGGTTTTAGGCGGGGGACGGCTGGTGGATAGAACTGCAGCGTAGGAAGATTTTGGTTCATGGTTGCCGGTGGGATTGAGTGTTGACATTTCCAGTTGTGGGTGGCGGGTTCAGAGAGAAGGCAGACCCTCTCTCACTAGAAGGGAATTAAGTTTGTGACAAATAGTCGGAAATATTCTTTTAGCTCCTTTAGTTCTGAAGCTTTCTGCAAATCGTTTGGAGTTTCTTTATGGGATTCTAGGGAGTCCTCTGGACAAATCACTACTTCTCTAAGTTTCACCTCCTCCTCTTGAAAAAATTGCATTAAATGGCTATTTTCGGGCAATATTTTGAGTAGGGCCCACTTCTGATCTGGGTCAGGTCAAAGTGGTTTCAAATTCTCCTTTTGTAAGGGGTTCAATTCGATATGTGGTACACTCAAAATGGATAATGGGTGAATGAGAAATTGATTTTTGAAGTTCACTTGTTGAGATGGAGAAGTTGGAAATTTCTGAAGGTAGAACTAAACGTAGAACTCTATCGTCAGATAATGGTCGTTCTAACCTCTCCTTGAACTGCTAGAGTTTCAAACGTTTCCTAATGGTTAGAAACTGGAAAATGTGATTAAAATATGGTTTAATTACATGGTTAATGGCCTGAAACGTTCAAACCCATTACAACACAATAAGTGTGTGTTTAATGGGTGGTTTCACACAATAAGTGTGGTGTTGAATGCATATTTAATACAAAGACTCCTCCTCCCCTATAAATGCTTGGCAGTAGATTTTGAATTGAGGGTGTGATAGAAGTGACAAAACAACAAGAGAGAACACACGATTTGAGCACACAAAATACTCGTTTGCAATTTGCATAGTCTTGAGAGAAAAACTCTGTCAAACTTCCGATAAAACTCACTGAGTTCTACCCTTTGTTCCAGTTCACCAGAAAAACCTATTGAGTGCTCGATACGGTTGTTCGTTAGTCATCATATCCCGGGAAACTGACACTGCAACGCTCCTAGCACCGTGGAAGGCAGTGAATTAGTTTTAAGGATAGTGTGCGGTGCACAGGCTTTGACTGAACCCGTGCCAGTTCTTTGTCTAGTTCCTTCGGCCAATTTGTTAATTTCTTAATTTCGGAAATTAAAAGAACGAAAGAAAAACACTATTCTCCCTACAATCTTAAAACTAATTCATTTTACGAAAGTTGTTTCACTACAGAAACAAACTTAAAAACTAACTCAGTGTTTTTGTTTAGTTTTAATGAAGATTGTTTCTCTATGGTTACAATCTTAAAACTAATTCAGTGTGTTTTTTCAAAAAGAGAAAGGAAGGAAAATGGCATCTCATGATAACCAAAATGTTCTTGTTGGACAAAATGAAACTCACTCTGAAAGCGGGGTTCCGGTGCACACTGGTTCACAATGCGGAACATCTGCTTTGGCCAACCAAGAGGCAATCCCTATGGTTACAGTGCCAAGTAACTCTGTGGAGAAACCCAAAAGTTCAATGGGTTAAACTTTAAGAGGTGGGAGCAAAAGATGCTCTTCTATCTTACCACCCTCAGTTTTGCAAGGTTCTTGACCGAGGATGTGTCGGTTTTAAAAGAACAACAGATGGATGCGCAATTTGTCAATGCGGTTGAGGCGTGGAAGCATTCAGACCTCCTTTACTGAAATTATGTGTTGAACGGGGTGCAAGATGCTCTGTATGATGTCGATAGCAAGCTAGCCACAACTAAGGAGCTATGGAACGCTTTAGACCACAAGTACAAAAGCGAGGATGCCGGCGCAAAGAAATTTGTTGTTGGTCATTTCCTTGACTTTAAAGTGGTGGATTCAAAGACGGTTTTGAGTCAAGTTGAGGAGATTCAAATGATCTTCAATGAGATTCAAGATGAGGGGATGACGATTAGTGAATCTTTCCAAGTGGCGTCAATCATCCACCTATTGCCGCCGACATTGAAGGACTTCAAGAACTACCTTAAGCACACGCGTAAGGAGATGAACTTGGAGCAATTGATCCTACGTCTCCAGATTGAAGAGGACAATCACCAAGAACGATGGAAAACTTCCAATCGTTAGTGGTGCCAAGGCCAATGTGGTGGAGCATGCTAAAGGCTCCAAATCCCAGAACAATGGGAAGAACAAGCTCTGTCCCAAGGGAGGCGTTTCCAAACCCAAGTTTAATGGAAAATGCTTCAATTGCAACAAAAATGAACAGAAGTCCTCAGATTGCAAAGCACCAAAGAATAAGAAAGACTCTCAAGTCAACGTGGTGTGAGGTGGTAATTAAAGAGGAGGAGGAAATAATCTTCTCCGCTGTGGTGACCGAGGTCAACCTAGTTTGCTCAAACTCCAAGGAATGGTTTGAGGACACCGGAGCTACCCAACACATTTGCTCAAACCAGGAGCTATTCACTACCTTTGAGGACTCAAATGGAGAGAAGATATGGATGGGAAATTCAGCCCATTCCGCTGTGGAAGGAATAGGCAAGGTGGTCCTCAAGATGACCTCGGGCAAGGAACTATCTCTAAACCAAGTGTTGTTTGTTCTAGAAGTGCGTAAGAATTTATTTTTCAGGTCGTTGCTGAACAAACACGGTTTTCGCATGTTCTTTGAGTCGGACAAATTAGTTTTGTCTAAATCGAAAATGTATGTGGGAAAGGGGTATGTTGTTGATGGGCTTTTTAAGCTCAATGTAATGACTATTATTAATAATAATTGTTGGTCCCGTTTACACAAGTAACAGTCTAGAAGGGGGGGTGAATAGACTATTCAAGTTTCAAACTTTTCTCTACGTCTTAACAGACTTGCCAGAGAAGGTCGAGTTCTGGTGACAGAACTGGACCTGGCAGCGGATGATATCTGGTAGGTGTTCTGGTCGGGTAGCCTTTTTTTAAGGAATACATTAAGGCAATAATTAGATTTAGATTTGTTCATACTTAGAATCCCTTTAGGGGGTGTGAACATTTTATTTAAATGCTTTATATTATTTAAATTGGTATCAGAGACAGGTTGCAAAGTTTCTGGTTGTTAAGATGGTACCCTTAACAACTGGTATGGCGGCAACTAGAGTCCAAAGTATCTAAAAAGTTTTCTAAAACAATTTTTTTAAGGTTTTCTAAAGAGGGTTTCAAAACATTTTTTAACAGTTTTCAAGGGAGTTTTCAATATGTTTTTTTTCTAAAATATTTGAAGAATGATTAAGGATTTCTAGGACTAAAAATAAAATTTTAGGCCACGGTGAGATTTGGATTTTTGGTTTTTGTTGAGTATATGGTTCATTTGAATTGTTTGACATATTCTTTTTGTTTTGGATATATCCTTAGTGAAGTTATTAGCTAAGGTATTATAATTATGAATAGTACTCGATACATTTCTTATTCAAATCCTAAACGCTATCTTTTCAAGAAGACAATGACGACACCGGGGGACAACGTGTAAGACATTGATGCCTCATCGAAGAACGCGGAGTTGACTCAAGCTTCGGGACAACTTACTCAACACATCCAGATCGTCACAAATGCGCTACTTCAAAATCAACGCCAACATTGCCTTAACAAGCGCAATGTTACTACTAAACACGTAGTTAGGTGTAATTCCCCAACTTATTTAGGCCAAGGAGATCACGTCATCCTTGATAATTGAATTTGCGATTTTGAGAAACTCTTTGATGCTATAAACCACCCGTGGATCGATATACTACCTACGTCAAGAGGCAAACAAATGGTCGGCCACGACCGAACAAGCATTGCGTCAACAAACCGACTTCTCTTGGGAGATGTATTACGAGGCCATGGGAGAAAGATTCTAACCAGAGCACGCGAAAGTTGTGAAGTATGAGGAATTCTTACACCTACAACAAGCGAGTATGACCGTCGAATAATACCACTCCAAATACTTGGGGCCTACACAATCAGCATCTGCGTTAGTTCCTAATTAAATTAGTGACACTAGAAAGTTTATTAGTCGTCTTAACTTTGAGATACTAAAAGCTCTTTGCGTTTTAGATTGCCAAGAACTGAATGAGACATGCAACAAAGCCGCTACCACTATTGAGTGTAATAACTCCAGAAGGAAACACGTAAGAAGAAACGGAAGCGTGCCAAAGGAGAGACCAACCATAGAGAGACTACTACTCTTGAATAAGTTAAGTGCTTCGGGGACGAAGCATCTTTTTAAGAGGGGTAGAATGTGACACCCTAAAAATATAAATTCAAATAAAATAAAATAAAAACATAATAATTTGAAATAAAATGTGAATTTATTATTCAAACATACGGATCAGAATACATTACCGCACACATTTATTACATGATGTGTAACGTAACCTTCTTTGAGTAAGTGAGTACTTCGGGGACGAAACATCTTTTTAAGAGGGTAAAATGTGACACTCCAAAAATTTAAATAATTTTAAGTGTTTTAAATTTTTAGTCTTTAATGTAATTTGATTTGCACAAAGTGTTGTATGTACGTATTGTACACACCTTTAATTATCAAATAAAATCAATTAATGGATATGTTGACTATTCAACCTTTATACATGGCCACAATGGCACATACTATATATATGTACGGTACATAGTATTAATAAATTAATAAATAAATATAAAAGTAAATGGCCATCATAAAAGGAAAAAACGGACCCCCACTAATATGCATACTCAAACGTTCGGTGCGATGATAAATACTCCATGAATTACGTAGAAGAATACGTTACGGAACGGCCGGAACTTAATACTACAACCTGGAACCTTCGGCATATGCGTATAAATAGAGGCATCGACAAATGGCCCTGCACGTAGGAAAGTAGACCTGCACCGAAACTAAACCTGCGAACCAAACCTCTTCATGTATACCTACGCCACACACACTCGCCGGGAAGGAACTGAAAGACCAAGATGAAGCTGCTAAATGGTCGCATCCGCGTCGCAAGAGAATGACAGAGAAAGTAGGACATCATAGAAGGCGGGAAACTTGTCGGAGAATAAAACGCAGTTACCGGAGTCGTTGCCGGACTGGTTTCACACCGGAGGAGAAGAAGCTGATGTTGCAGCTGTTGGGATTAATTAATTAATCTTAATTAGTTTACTTCCTAGGGAACATAAATTATCTTTCCCTACTTTTATTGGAAAGATGAAATGTCTTCTTGGAAAGGTAAATTGTATTTCCTAGGGATTATTTTACTCCACTTGTAATGCCTATATAAGGCCACCAATTGTAATGTTCTATCAAGTGGAATATAATACATTCTCCTCCATTCCTTTGAGTTGTAAGTTAGCCAAACACTTAGAATATTCTCCTACATTCTCCACATGTTCGGCCAACTACCTCAATTGAAGAAAGCAAACTTCGACCGATGGAATGCTCAAATGAGAGCACTGTTGAAGTCACAAGGAGTATGGGATGTTGTCGATAATGGCTACACAACACCGGAGGAAGGAACCATCTTGACGGTTGCCCAACAAGTGGAACTCGAAGGAGCACAAAAGAAGGACCAAACGGCACTGTTTTGGTTGCTTCAAGCAGTGGATGACACCATCCACGAGAAGATAGCCGATGCCGAAACTTCAAAAGAAGCTTGTGACATCATCGAAAGAGTGTTCAAAGGAGGGGAAAGAGTAAAGCAAGTGAGGTTGCAAACTCTACGAGGAGAGTTGGAGACTATGCGGATGAAAGAGAACGAGAAGGTCACCGAGTACATTAATCGGGTGATGACCATAGCAAACCATATGAAGAGAAATGGTGAAACCGTAAGTGAGAGTCGGATAGTAGAAAAAATTCTACGAACACTTACGGACAAATTCGAGAACGTGGTATGCGCAATCGAAGAAGCTAGAAATATTGAGACGCTTACCATTGACGACCTGTCGGGGTCGTTGGAGGCACATGAACAAAGAAAGATGAAGCGGCTAGAATCGCTTGAAGAGGCATTACAAACTGTGGTGGTAGAGGAGAAGGCAATGTATGCCCATCAACCGAGACGCCGAGGCCGATGTCACTTCCGTGGTCGGGGCCAAGGAAGAGGAGACTACAACCGAGAGGAGAATACCCACCAGAACCGGGAGGACCAACATCGCCCGACCTGGAGAGGCCGAGGCAGAGGAGCTGCCCGAGGCGGTCGGGGAGGCAGACCCGATGGGGAATGCTACAATTGCGGGAAACGGGGACATTTCGCAAGAGACTGTTGGTCGAAACAAAAACCGGAGGAGAATCTAAATGTTGCTGAGCATGATGATGATGATGGAGATGAGGAAGGAGTGCTCTTACTAGCACACAAAGAAGGAAGCTTAACAGACGACGCTACGTGGTACTTGGATACCGAGGCGAGCAACCACATGAGTGGTTATAAACATTTATTCACTGAGTTGAAGGAGGCTGAGGGAGGAAATGTATCTTTTGGAGATACATCAAAAGTAGTTATCAAAGGCCGAGGAAAGGTTAAATTTCTGTAAAAGAATGGACAAGAGGGGACAATTGAAAACGTACTCTATGTCCCGAGCATGAAGACAAATATCATAAGCATGGGACAACTTATGGAGAAAGGGTATTCAGCCGACCTAAGTGGTCGATACCTACACTTGAAGGATAGACGAGGTCGGGTCGTCGCCCGGGTAGAGATGGCCAAGAACAGAATGTACAAGTTGGACTTGAGAAGCGTAAACCATAAGTGCTTGAAAGTCGACCTGACGGACAAGTCACTATTATGGCACCTACGTTTCGGACATTTGAACTTTGGAGGATTAGCCGAGCTGAGCAAAAAGGGCTTGGTACATGGACTACCCGAGATGGATTTTCCAAAGCAATTCTGTGAAAGCTGCGTACTTGGGAAACACACCCGGACGAGCTTTCAGAAGACTGCCAAGTACCGAGCCAAGGGAGCATTGGAGACAGTCCATACGGACATTTGTGGGTCGATCACGCCATCATCTTTCAGTGGGCGAAGGTACTTTATCACCTTTATTGATGACTACACCAGGAAGACTTGGGTATATTTTCTAAAAGAAAAATCGGAGGCCTTTAAAACATTCAAAAATTTCAAAGCCGAGGTGGAGAAGACAATCGGGCTGAAGGTGAAAGCGTTGAGGTCGGAGCGGGGGGGGGGGGGGGGGGGGGAGAATACATTTCAGACTCTTTTACAAAGTTTTGTGAAGAGGAAGGAATTAGAAGATTCCTTACTGCCCCGTACTCGCCTCAACAGAACGGGGTGGCCGAGCGAAAAAACCGGAGCATTATGGACATGGTAAGATCCATGCTCAAGAGCAAAAATATGCCAAAGCAATTTTGGGCCGAGGCGGTACGATGTGCGGTGTATGTACAGAACAGGTGTCCGCACTCAAATCTTGAAAATCTAACACCTCAAGAAGCATGGAGTGGTCAAAAGCCGACCGTGTCACACTTGAGGGTGTTTGGGAGTATCTCTTACGCACATGTGCCCGATCTGAGACGGACAAAATGGGAAGACAAAAGCAAGAAGCTTGTCTTCATTGGCTATGATGAGAAGACAAAGGGATACAGACTATATGATCCCGAGGAGAAAAGGATCACAGTGAGCAGAGATGTAGAGATAAATGAAAAAGGAAGCTAGGATTGGAACACAGAGAAGGAGTACGTCTCGGACGGGACCTCAAATAACGAGGACGTCCCGGACGGGACCTCAAATGACGAAGAGACCCCG